AAGGAACCTGAACAATATCTGTGCTAATTGGGAATATCTATCGAAGTTTCAGCTTCCTTTTTTTGCCATTATCAATTACAATTCTGATTACAAAAGCCGTGAGAGATCACCATGCCTGCAGAACAACAAAAGGAAGGTATATTGCACAGCAATCCTGAGTTATGCATTTTCCCTAGACTCCCTCTTATAAAGATCTCAACTCCTGGTAAACTACTAGAATGTTCACACTGTCTAGTGGTGTGCTGCTGCACTTCAGCAGTGTGCTCCCACAGTCTCCCAACAGTCTTATTTAAGAATCTCACTACTTTCAAATCTTACTAAAATAAAACAGACTATATCTATGAAACAAAAAGAACTGTTGATGTTAGGTGTCATAAAAAAGTGAGAGAAATGAAAGAAGTTAAAGTTCACAGAAAGAATAAATGATCAATGAAAATGGGAGATAAAGATCAATGAGAAATTGTATTAACTCTTAAGTTATTGACTAATACAGTAAAATGTATAAATCATATACCAACTATAGACATTTCCTTAGCATTCATTGTGACACCATTATTCCAGGATAAATATCAATGGAACTTAGATGCTTATTATAGTATTATAATGCTTATACTCTTTAAGATGTTATTCCTTAATTCCTACTGGCATGGGAATGGGATGCACCATTAAAATATTACCAAAAAAATAAAATACCATATTGTGCTTTGGCTTCTACATAAATAATAACAGGCTCCTCCAGACAACTGAAGTGTAACATACCATATCACACAGGTGACAAAAATATATACTCGTTGCTGCATGTTAGTATCAGAATTTTCTTTTAATAGCCCGACCCAGGGATTAACAAAGAAAAATCTGAAGCCTCTGCTGTTAGCAACAGATGATTCTATTCGGGAAAATAAAGCTGCACTTGTAAAAGACCTGGAAAGAAAACTGCATTTCAGAGAGGATGTTAATCAACAAAGTGGTCAGCAGGTAAGAAAATCGAGTGTTATTACAATAAACTTCAATTATGAACAAGACATGTATTATGACGTCTGGAACAAAAGGTGATTTTGTGTGGTTGAGCTGCTACGCTACTTTGCAAAGTGAGGTTTTGTGGTAAGTACTGGTTTGGAATAGCGAACTGGAGCTTTAAATAGGAAGTATGAGGAGCTGCAGCTGTAGAAGGTTTACTTTGTGACTGAGTAACATTTTTAATTTCTGACCATCTCTATTAGGTAGGAATGTAAAACTTTTTTCTTTTCATGGAAGCTTCTGTACATTGGATTTCATTTTTTCACTTTACAAGTTGCTCAACTCATTGCACACATACACATTCATACACTGTATATTTTTAACACAAATTAAGGAGTAAAGTAATCAAACTGTTTAAGAAAAAGTTATCTGTTTTCACTTTGGTTAAACTAAAATGTGGTATTTAATTTTTAGCATTAAACTGTTTTTTCAGATCTCCCAACTTGTATGAGTTGACAGGGACTTGTTAGGAACTTGAAAGTTTTTGGTAGCTGTTACTGGCATACACCAAACTTCAGGCCTAGTATTATTAGTTTAGCAAAATAACAAGCCTTTTAGTTTAAGGAACTAAATATCAGTTCACTCTTAACTGGAATCAATAAATTCACCAGATCTGGGCAGTGTCTATGAAATTAAAGAAGAAATAAAAAATAAAATAATAATTTGAGGTTGAAAACACTGTAAATCAGGTTCAATCACCGTAGGACATACTAAGGACTGCTAGATAGCTGTTCCCTCTGCAGGTGATTACGCTACTCTGACCTTGGCCACAGCGCCCTCCATAGCTGTCCCTCCAGCTCAGGCTTAACACAGCAAATAATGGTTTACCCTGATCTGTCATCAACAAGGGAACTTTTCACAACCTCTGCTCGCCCTTCTGACATGCAGAGAACATGCAAAGATAAGCAAAAAGCCATAGAGTCTCTGGAGCAAATTACCCTCTGCGGACAATTGCAGTGTAATCCCTGGGGTTTTAATTTTGCTGTTGACCTTTCTTTCTGACAGATCACGCTGCCAAAGCACTTTGAGTAAAACAACTGGCAAGCGTTATGTTTTGCAGATGAATCACAAGTGTTACAATTTGTACTTGCTATGGTAGTAAGACGAATTATTTAGAGTGCTACTGTGAAATACCAATCAGTCTTTTGAGTTAACTGCATAACCCCTTTACAAACAATGTTTACTAATAGTGTCTAAATTATCTGCTGACAGCAAAAGTTATTTATACACTTATTTGCTATTCTGTATGAGACCAAATCAAAATCTTGATTCCCAAATCCCCCCAAACAGTGAAAAACTTCAAAGTTGGCACTTCTCTAATTGTTATGGTAATTAGAATGCCAATGGTAATGAACTAGCAAACAATTTTAGGATTGTTCAATGAAAGTTCCCTCATTTTCCCCTCAGTTCCTACCTTTAATCACTTCTGACTTTATTCTTCCACATGCAGGAAAAGGACTGCTCAAACTGTCTCCAGCAAATTCAAGTCTGAGTTTTCTCCTCAGTTAAAGCAGTGATTATTTAAAGAGATGAGAGGAGGCACAGTATTTTCCAAAATCCCTATTGCTTTGTCATTTATAGAACAATCAACATCTTGAGAATAATATGCTGGAGGGCTGGATTAACACCCATAGATTTTGTCCTGTTTTTTCCTCTTGTAGTTAACACAGCATTAAAAAGGAGACATTTTCATCCTACATACAACATATCTGCATTAAATTGACTATTATAATGGTAGGGAAGGACTTTTTATTCACTTTCTCATAAATAAAAATGCAACTCTGCTCTGTGGGAGAGATCACTGCATAATGAATGGAGTACAGCATCCAATAAGAATCTCAAAGTGTTGGTTTCCCTCTATTTTCTACATGTTACTTTAAAAATTCTTTCTCATGAAGTATGTCCTACAGCATATTTTAATTTAGAGAACTGTATTGTAACCCCATGTTTCAATAGCAACACTTGGTCTCATTTACAATATCTGCAGAGCATGTAGGGATCATCCAGAATGAAAGCTGCAGATGACAAGTCTGTGTCTTAAAGTATTGGTATTGTCTTATATTACTATATAAAGTGCAGTAATGAACATAAGTGATTTACATCCTGGTGCTCTATTTATTATCTATCATTGACTTCCATATGAAAAGTGTTTAGCTTACAAGTCAACACTTTCCTAAGTGTCAGCATTATGCACTCAGCATGATATCTAATAATCCAGATGTACTCCTTCTGTTTCATTCAGTGCATCATTCATCACCAACAATAAAGAAATCCAGAATCAGAACATAGTTGGGAATTTTGCTGATGTTGCATGAGACAGAACAGATTAGTCTCTGGTCTTCTACAGCTATGATAAACATGCAGTGCTGACAGAAATACAAACATGATTTTGCTAAGATTCTAGCTGCAACTTTGATCAAGTATATGCAATAACAAGCTGTCATTTTTACCAGAAAAAAACCCACCATAACCTGTCATTTATACAGACGGTAGTATGCTATATTGCCAGGTGAAATTTCTTCATAATCAGGAGTGTTGAAAAAATGTGGTTCAGTTATACCAAATGTCTTCAGTCAGATTTGCTCAGTTCTTTCAAACAGAAAATACACTAAATGAGGTTTAGCTTTAGGCAACTGCAGGAAGAAGTTAGGACAAATCCCAGGATATAGGAGACAACTCAGTTTCTTCCTTGGCCCGAAGACAGTCAGATTCATAACTCTTAATCCCGTATGGACAGCCTAATTCCTTCACAACAGGTATGTGTACTGTTGGTGCTGTCTCAGGTTGCACAAATAGTTAAGCATTCTTTATCAGCAGGATAAAAATCTGGAAATTCCACCTTTCAGAACAGCTCCTGTAACAGGAGACCTGAGCCTTTCTCTCCCATTCTCCAGCTCAATGAATAAAACAGACTTTCACGCAGTGTGGAACAGGCCCTCCTTTAGCAGGACATTTCAGACAGCATTTCAGCTTAACGGTTAGGGTTGTTTGAGGATGCTGCTAGAATCCTTTCTTCTAGTTTGTGTTGGAGAAAAGAAACAGAGACAGACTGAGAGTGACAGAGAGAGAAAAGGAGAATCACTCTCCTGCCCAGGAAGCAGAACAAACATCTGGATTCTTGTCCTTCTGTAGTGGAAGTTTCAGTATTTCTGCAACACGAAAGAGGACAAGAAGGACCAAGATCTTCCCTGTCCACTCATCTCCAGCCCCATAATGTTTTATTAGCATGGAGCTCAGAACTTACTCTTGGAGACAGAGGTTGAAACCCTGTGAGAAAAGCATCCAAGTCTCATAATCTCAGTGAGTGTCTGGGCTACTGCACCATTTGATGAAAGGAGAGCACAGCCAATGTTATCTCCACTTCCCAAAATCTGTCAGTTTAGTCCATTGGGCCTCTTACCATCCTTACAAGCAAAATGTCTCAGTGCTGTTCAGTTGCAATATATCATGTAGAAAGAAAAAGACACGTGTGGAGAACAGGGCAGACTTAGAATTTGGGAGCATTTTGGCAAAAAACATAAATGTGTAATGCAAACTGATTCTTTTACCATGGTATTTGAAAACATTTACAGGCTTCACCAATGGGACTATAAATCAAGGAAATTCAGCTTTACAGGCAAAACTTAGAAATTAATTATATTATCTCCTCAAAACTTTGCTATACAAATAATACAAAATAGAAAAATTAGGTAATTAAACCTGAAAATTCTGTACAGTAATAAAAATAAAGGAATTAACTGTGCAATAATAAAGGAAAAGGGAGTTATGTACCTGGGCCTGGTTTATACCTTTTGGTTACAAGAACTATAAACTGTGCTCACATATCTGAGTCACTTACTATGAAGAACATTATGTGGCAATGCTGGTTGGTTGTGTCTTATGTAAGACCCAAATAGCAGTGTGGTCACTGCCTTATTTTTAGGACAAAGAGTAAACCTACAGCTGTTTAGAAAATTATGCACAGCCCTCACATGAATATTCTTTACTTTTGGTAGGGAATACTTTATAAGAAATTTCAGATGCAGGGTTTGTCTAAAAGCTTTTAGATCATTACAAACCACGGCCTGTAAAGCCATATGCAGAACCCAACTCATCACACAGACCACATCACCACCAACACATCAAGACTGATCAATCAGAATCACCTCCTTGCAGTTCCCACACTAAGCAGTCAGCCTCAGCAAGGTCCCGAGAATCACCAAGAACTCTTTTCCCCAAAGCACAAGAGTTACACTTAATTCAATCACTCCAAAAATCTTGCTCAAAACAAGCTTCAGGTCATCTCTCAAAGGTCAGCAAATGTAGATAGTTTTGGACTAAGGATGGGAATTAAATCACAAGGAGCCCTCCCAGAAGCTTGTTTGCTCTGTACTAGAAATGAGAAGAGATTTAAGAACCTCACCAAGACAAATTATCAGATCTTGATATTAATAGATATATGCTCCAAATAATTGTGGGAATGAACAGCTGAACAACCACTCGTAGCTGTCTTCTCAAGACTTAGATCTAATCAACAAATTACAGACAGGTTTTCCTGGTAAGGATACTGGCTTGCAGAACTCATCACATAGGAAAGAGAACCTGAGCTCCTCATGCTTTCACACACCCTCATAAGCCACTCACTCCAAGCTGATAAGTCTGTGGAAGTTGGAGATGCAAACCTTATTTGCTTTCTCTTCTGTTTACCTCTTGCTTAATCACTTCGAGCCGAACTGTATTTCGAATATTGTCTAGCTGTGTGCCACAGATGATTTGCTAGACTCTTCAAGAATTTTTACAATGTTTACATTTGGATAGAACAATATTCACGCCTTGTGCCATGTAAGATGGCCCAACATAAATAATGTGCAAGAAATAAGTCGCTTCAGTGATACCTCTTCATGGGACATGAAGAAAAGCATGCACATTGGATCTGTTGCTTTTTGACCCCCACTACTGAAAGGGGAGTGGGGTGGGAG